TTCTCTGGCAGCAGGCCTGAAAACAGCAGCGGCATATCCTCAGACTGCAGCACATGTGCTCTTAATGTCCCAAATTTGACCCCTGAGCACATGTGGACAGTGAATGTTAATTATTTTTTTATTGTGAGAAGGGTTAGTGTTCTGTGGATGTGTGATAACTATGCCGATGTTTTCACTTTACATTCAATATTTCATTAAAATTTGAATTACATTTTAGTTTTTTTTGTGAAAGTTTAGGAGGATCTATTGGCAGAAATGGAATATAATATCCATAGTTATGTTTTTTTTTTAATTAGTGTATAATCACCTGAATATAGAAATCATTGTGTTTCATTACCTTAGAATGAGGAGCTGTTTTTATCTACAGACACAGCAGGATTAGAATATGAATGCATACAAACAATGCATATTTCCTTTTGTCAAGTAAAACAGATGTCCTTGTGCAAATACCACGATTAATACCACAATTCTTTTATCACCAGTTTGAATCTTCACGTATTTGTATCCCAATCCATCTGCTTTCCTAATATACAAAATAATATGTTTTTGTTAACACATCCTTTATACTCCACACCACCCATTTAAATCAACCTTATAAAAACTTGACAACAACAACCTGATGATTGTATGAAGAGAACGTGATGTTTTTCTATATTCTTTACCAATGCCCTGCTCCTAATGATTCTGGGAGCAGGGTCTTGTTTTCCTGTACAACCACATATGCTTGTGAACAATTGAATACCTCATTTTGAAATGGCCACATGTCTCTTTTTGTCATTTATTATGAGCCTGTGTAGCCAGCTGAGTGTCACTCCGGATTCCAGCAGCTAATATAAAGCCCTGGTATCCAACCTTTTTAGCTTGTGATGCCTAAAATGAGCAAAGTCTTCTTCCATGATACATTATCTCTAAGGTGTGGATATGAATTATGTTCAACCAAGGAATGATTGTGTCTCTTGTATTGCTTTGGCTGAAATATTTGGGGTGAGGGAACAGTAGGGGTATATTGGGGACCACTGAGGTCAGGATATGATGTTTGATTCTTTTTCATTCATAGTGTCATCTAATTGTGAACCCAAAATGTATTTTATTGAACACAAAGACTCAAAAACAGGTTTTCTCCGAGGTAAAACTGTTTTGGTTTTTTTGTATACCAGAACAAAATTGGTTGACAAATGTTTTTTGCATTTGTTATGTGTGAATACAATTTGTAACGACCAAATATAAGCAAATTAGATAAATTACAAATGTTTATTGTGGAATTGTATAGAATTTCTAGAACACAATATGTATATGTATACAAATATATATTAGGAAATAATAAATAAATAATTAAATATGTGTTATTATGCAAATGTATATAATATAATATAATATAATATGGCAACATTTATCTGCAAAACAATACTGTTAATTGCACAACAAATAAATAATAAATATCAGACCTCATAAGCACATAAATAATACACTCTTGATTCTTCTAGTCTGGTCCTTGATTGTGTTGTCTGGGATTTGAGGATTCTTGCATGCTCCTATTGGCTGCTTGCGGCTCATGTCACAGCTGTTTCCATCTTCTCAGATTCAGTAGCGTCCCCCACCACTAACACCACCCCCGCCTCCCGCCCTTTTAGCTCCATTTCACTGCCTATAGCTGCCCCTCCCCCCTCCACACTCCTCCACTCTTAGTACACTGTGTACCCAACTGAACATAAAGAGCACAGAACACTGACATATTGTTGTCTGCTGTGTGTGTGTGCGTGTGTGTGTGTGTGTGTGTGTGTGTGTGTGTGTGTGTGTGTGTGTGTGTGTGTGGTGTTTGTGAGAGAGAGAGAGGCATTGTGTGAGTTTGCATATAGTAGGAAGTATCATTGGGGTTTCCCTGGCCCTCACCCATCATTAATCTACAAATTCCACTTAATCTAGAATGCTAATCAGACTGTGCTGCTCAGTGTGGAGCAGGGCTTTGTTTCCAACCAGGACTGAGACATGGCAGCGCTGATCTCCTGGGGCGTTATAATGGCAGGGGGTATCCCACTTTCCCTCAGCCAGTAGGATCACTGCCCTGTGTTATTCTTTCTGTATTAGCCCTATTAGCAGCCACCATTGTAGCCGCTGCTCTTCCTGAGGTCTACAGAAAACACATTCCAGACAGCAGACAACCAGATACAGTCCAAACATACATAAACTCCTAACTCACACAAGAAAAGCAGGGAAAAAAACACAATTCAGATTCATTTAAAGACATTAGAGATGCATATGAATTTATAGTAAATTATCTTGTGCGCACAAGATAAAAAATATTTCCTTTCGGGGACTTGAGGGACTCCGTACATTTGAACTGGGAAGCAGGATATTTCAACTGGAACATCCCCAGAAATCATATTTCCATCTTAGAAAACTCAAAATCCAAGATAGCTGCTGTAATGCCATATGTCATTTTAGCTCCAAATATAATATTTAATATAAAAAATATTGATAAAAATCATCATAATTTCCTCAGTTCATATGGTTTTAGGAAAATAAGTGCATCAATTTTGGCAAAAGCATTGTTCATGAAACACGTAGAGCCTAGTTCATTGACAGAACAGTCGTAAACACTAATATGATATCTAGGGATGAGCAAGTACACCGTTATCTGTATCTGTAACTAAATTCTTTGTATTCGGTCAATACTTAGAATGGGCGGGGTTAAAACAGACATGGGCGGGGATAACCAAAAGTCCATCATTTAACCTGAAATTGAGAGTAATGTTCTGGATCACAAGAGTAAGAGAACTTTCTTTTTAAAGAAAACTTGCTATATTTTTACGAGTACTGATATTGACACGTTTTACTTTAAAAGTGTTATCAGCACCAGATACTTGTTTCAGCTGAGTACTCGCCAGAGTTATTATATTATATTATTATAGTTTTTATTTTTATTTTTATTTTTTTAACTTTTTAAAAAAATGTATTTATTTATTTACATACATACATGTACAAAGAGCATGTACAAAGAACATGGGATCATCATGGGTGTTACAGTTAAAATCAAAGTATTCTTTTACACATACATCATGGTATAATGTCATATTAGTTTTTCTTTTTATTTAATTTTGAATTTTTGTTTTCAATTCAATTTAGGACTACTATGAGACTTAAAGACAGCTTCTTCCCTCAGGCTGTGAGACTGTTAAATTCTTCCTCAATTTTTATTTTGTTTTTAAAAGTGGCATAAAGGGAACTATGTCTCAATTTCATTCTACAACCCTGCGTTGTAAGTGACAATAAAATATCTTTGAATTTAGTTTCTAGAATTGATTTGCTCGTTTCAGTTTGTTTGTTTGTTTTAACAATGTTTAGTTTAGGTTTCAGTATATTTTAAATTATAATATGGGGGTATAATAACCTCAACCCTAATGATCACACTGTCCTCTTGGATAGACTGAAAATTCTAATGTGTTAACCTGTTGAAGTATCACTCTAAAACCATTGCAGTATTGTCATTTTCAGATCTTGACTGAGACATGGAATGTCTGTAACTGTGGTCATTACAACCAAACACAATGCAGATTAATCTGCTCCTATTTCACCCTATAGTGGCCTGTCTACAGTCTGATTTATGTTCTCTGTAATCTATGAATGCAACATGGGTGCATTTACCATCACTGCATAGGTTGTTGTTTGGGTAGTGATCAAAGATTGGAGGCTGTCTGGTGTTTCTGGACAGATAAAACAAACCCTGTTGGATAATCCAGGGGATTAGTGACAACTGTGGGAAACAACATCTTCCATTTGGTGCCTGTGCCTGAATAAACAGTGGTGGGACATAGGCGCTGTAAAACAGACAAATATTCATTATGCTACGCTTAAATAAGCAGCAGCAGCCACAGACATCCAACAGTTACAGTCCATCACTGCCACTGGAATATGTGCTCACTGCCTATTTCACCAAATGTCCGTCAAAAGAGGAGCTTTATGTCAGACAGCTAACGTTACATAGCCTTTGAGTTCCGAAGAAGAAGAAGAATTACTTTATCAATCAAGTATATTTTTTCACTCAAGCTTCTAGAGCAGTGATCCTCACTATTTTTTTCACAATTGGCAGAGCAAAATCAAGGGGAGAGCCACTTTTAGACAACATACCAAGTCACCTTTGCAAATATGCATTTCTACATATTGGACATCCCACAAAAAATAAACAACACAGCCAATACATTTTCAATTAAGACCATATTTACCTTATTCGTTACAACGCTGTGTGTCTGTCTGTCTGGTATTTTGCCCTTTTTTATTAGAAACTGATCCATTTTGTGCCTGCATCTCATCTGGCTAGCGGAGCTAACGAAACCTGGCTGAAAGCGTGCAGTGCAGTCCAGTGTAAACAAGGCCATAAGCGTATATTTATGTAGCACATTTGAAAAAATGTATTGGCTGTGTTACCATATTGTTATAAGCTACCATGCGAGCCAACCAATTAAAGCTTGACGAGCTGCATGTGGCTTGCGGGCTGCGCAATGAGTATCTCTGTTCTAGAGTAACAACTGACCACAAAATCTCTCTGAACTGTTTACACACCCTAATCCAAGTGCTCCAAAATAAGTAAAATAAGTATTTGCATGCCAGGATTAAGATGTTCCCTTTCCTCTCTGTGCATCCAGTGAAGAGATATCAGAATTACACTGCTCGGATGGGAACAAATGAAATATCAGATGAGGGGATTAGGTGTTCTTAACCACAATTATATACCTGGTAGAACAGAGAAACAACATTATGGCCTTAATGTGATAAAATACAATTTACATAGGACATCATTAAAAAAACAAATTAGTGAATAAGAAATGTCTTCAAATAAGAGTTTTTGGTTGCTATAGGCAATTTCCTAGGTGGGTGGGGTCCAATGGGGGATTTTATCATTTCTACTTCAGAATTATAGTCCTGGCTTCAGCCATGTGCGTGCACACACACCACACACACACACACACACACACACACGTATATATATTTAGTCCACACAGTCATAGTTTTGATCATTTATTCCAAGAAAAGTTGTCAAACATATTTACAGCAAAAAAAAAAAAAAAAAACACGATGCTTTCTCAAACATCTTATGGCTCCTGTCAGCGTCATTATTTTACACAACATCTGAAACTTACATTTCTGTACAGACTGGAAATATGCACTCAAAGATAAAAATTCTAAATATTACACACAATTGTTTTGAGAGCAGTGCGGCTCTGTACGGTGTTTACAGTGAGGCAGTGAAATATTTTGCATAGTGTAAAGTGTTTTCAAGTGGAATCATTACTAGTCTGAAGAGAGCTAAATGAAATCGCTCGAACAAACATACAGTGTCAGCAGGGCAAGTGGAAAACAAGTTTTAGTATTATTGATTTAGTTGTAAAGAGCCTCAGTTAGCTTATACACTATCAACCACAGCAAAGCCATATACAGTCGTTTAACCATGTTAGGTTGAACCCCTAAAGAAACATGTATACTGAGCAGTGCTGAACAGGTCAGAGATTCAACATCTCAAAGGGTAAAGAACACAATTTCTATCTGCTACACTAGAAAAATGAAAGTCTCATCCCAAAATAGAACACCTTCATGTTATAACAACATCAACAGTTGACAGTGTTAGCATTCAACAACTACAGCGAGAGTACTTTAATCGGAACTGCCCCTGCCATCTATAGTGTATTGAAACATCAACAGTCACTCATCTACATTTGTACTTGAGGCAGTTCCACATATTTGATGATGCTGCCAGATTCTTGCAATTTTGGGGTTGTATCCACATGGTTAATGCTCTTATTAAGTAAGTCGCTTTGGATAAAAGCATCAGCTAAATAAATGTGATGGAATGTAATGTACCATGGTTGTACTAGCCGTCATACCCACTGAAACACACTGATGGAGCTGTAGTTGTTGAATGCAATCAATATAATTGACCCTTCTTAAGTCCCGCCCCCTTTTGCTCTGTGCTCCAGTACCAGTTGAGCAGTGTCCCCTTTCCTGTACTGAGATATGCTATGTGCTAGGCTTGTCTATGTTGAAAAGACAACCACATTTTGAAGATGGCTAAAAGATAAAAGCGACATCTTAAGTTAGCGAATGTTAGCAAAACACTAGCTAACTAACGACTGATGTTAATTAGCTAGTGGCTATAGCCACAGTGAGTGAAGCACTCGCTAACTACCTAATCTACATCAGTCGTTCTCTAGCTAGTAGTGCTATTTAGTTATCTAATCAACATAGACAAGCGTAGCACATAGCATATTTAAGTACAGGAAAGGTTACTGGAGCACAGAGCAAAAAGGGGCGGGACTTCGGAAGGGTCAACTGAGCGTAAGGTAGGACTACTACTGTGGAGTAATACAGCCATTAGGAGAGAGGGTAACAGGTGTTTCCAGATGTAGTCACTCTAAAGGGAAGAGCTGTGCGTCACTTGTAGCTAAGTGAAACACTACATAGAGAAGTCAATTAGAGGATGGTTCAGGTTTAAACAGTCTGAGGTAAAACTCTATCCCACTCAAGCAGTTTGCCTTTTATCACAGACTAACACAAGGCTGTTAAGGTAGATAATATGTTTCAGAGTGCTTAGAATGAGGTAGGATCACACTACGAAACGCACCAAAAGCTACAACTACTGCTGACTCACTGAACTGTACCCACATGCTACGCAGTGCTGGGAAAGCAAAAGGAGGTTCATTCCTCCGGTCTGTGCTGGGGGGTGAAGGCTAGTAGAGCTTTCTAGGTCTGGAACATACAGTTTTATAATACACCACTGTATGCTTTAACTCCTCTATGTTTGCTTTTTTCTTAACTTTTTGTACTTTCTATCTTCCTGGAAACCCTAGTGGCTTCGAGTACCGCCTCACCTGTGGATCAGCCTAATGATGCACATGTAGTAGATCATGAATCAGAGCACAAACTAGCCATGACTTTCTCACAGCACAAATAGTAGGGTACAACAACCACTGCCTGCGTGTCTTCTACACACGTGCCGCTGCAAAGGGTTTGAAGCACTTCAATAAAGAGGGGGAAGGAAGGAAGGAAGGAAGGAAGGAAGGAAGGAAGGAAGGAAGGAAGGAAGGAAGAGAGACAGTTAGGATTCCATGACTGCTTTTGGGGATTATTTCCAGATGGCAAATCTTCAATCTCCTGTGAGAGTCCCCAAATCAGACACTGAAGAAAGATTCAGCCACAGATGGCTCAATACTGCTGAGGTGACGAGCTGTTCCCGTTAAATGAACCCATTAAACATTATCACACCAGTCACAAACCTTAAAACTCAAAAGGTAGAGTACAGAACAATGTTCGGTATCTCTTAATGACAGATTGTAAGCACTGACTTGATAAAATAAATTGTATTCACAAAGAGTTATTTCAATGTCCTCAAATGCTACTCTCAATGTAAAAAACATTCAATAAAAAGTTACCAAAACCCACCAAATGATCATGATTGTTTCTTGGTCATACATTAATTTATCAAACATGTTAATACTAAACAGATATACGCAATTTGTCCAACAGGTGCTATTTGGATTCAACAGGAACTCCAGTAAAACCAGTTTTGAATTCCCTGCTGGACTTTGTTTGGTTAAACATGCACAGTATTGTATGGAGTCAACGCAGGCCTGCTGCTTCTAAAGGTGTGAATTCTATAGTACACCTTCAAAACAACATAATAAAACTGATAATATTCACATTTGTTCCGCCTCTGCCTCCGGAGTGTGGCACAGATTTGTGAAATATCCCTGTAAACTTGCTTTACATGGGCGAACATGTGACACTGAAACAAAATCTTTGACAACCATCTTCACTTATCGTGATTGCTCTTGAGCTTTTGGGGAGATAAGGGCACCGAATTGTTTCTGATTCTCACTTGACATTATTGCAGCCTGCGTTTGTGTTTACAATGTATGACATCATTGGAAGCAAAAGATTTCATTGGTCAGAAACCTACATTCATGAGGTTTCTGTCTTGGTATTTGAGCTTCTTCTGTTACCCACAAAATCATTTAATTTAAAGATCCAATTGCACTTCTGTGAATCATCTTTAAGGCACGAGGTTGTACGGGGCATTGTGGGAGGGAGAAACTGGTAGTGTCGTCTGTTGTTCATAGTATCATCAGCAGAATGATGGGCGGCCCATGCTTTGACCTTAGACCACTGGTATAGTCCAGTAGGGTAACCTGTGCCACAGCCGAGAACATTACAAATGTTAAGGAAGAGCAGGCCTGTAACCGGGGCTGTTGGGAACAAATAACCAACAAATATAAAACAACAAATGTCATTAACCTGGTTGTTACATCCAGTCAGCTCTCAGAGACACTGGCATTATCCTCGGTTCCGTGGTGACACTGATTGTAACTGGATGGTGGTGGAAGTGCACTGTGGTCTGATTTGCATACTGTTCCTGATCCGGAGTTTTGGAATCATCAGCCAGTCCGTTTACATCCCGCTCAAATTATGATTGTGGATTCTTCACAGTTCAGTTTGTCAAAGTCCCTTTTTCCACTGGAGTCTATGTCCATGTAGTAAACAAAGCTGCAGAGACACAAAGTAGAAAGAGGTCACCATGGAGCAACAAGAAGACAGCGTTTCATTTTTATAAGTGAGGTTTTTTCTTTTTTTAAGAGTTTTTATTGCGCTTTTAACAGTTGAAACACATGAGGCCATACTAGAGATGGGGCAATAAATTATATTATCTCTCTTGATCGCGATATATATCATGGTGTGTCTCTATTATCGTGATAATTGTGAATCATGATAATCGTGAATATCCTCACGTGGCTTGACTTGAAAAAGCTGTCTAGCTTGCCATCATACAGTCCTATATAGATTTGGCTAAGATAATTATGACATGAAACTTTCATATTTCCCCATGCCTAGGCCATACAAAGTATAACAATCAAAATTATACATTTGTAATAAACACAATTCAAATTTACAGTCCACGGAGAGTGTATTGTCTTACCAACAGTCATACTATAAATTACAACAACAATCAATTTTTAAAAAAAGGCTAAGAATGATACTAAATTTAAAAAGAAATGAGGAAGTGGATGTCTATAACCCTTCTCCTATAATCAAAGAAATTAGGTCTTATTTCTGTAGCTGTGTGGAATCACAATCACTCATCACTCCAAAAATATTCCAGTTTTATCAAAAAGGCAATATTTCTCCAAAACTGTTCACATGGCAATTGAAACTTATAGTCCTGTTAACATGCAGTCAATTAACTGTTAATGACGTCCTACAGAGGAATTTCAAATAAATGCATATTCTAAACGCTCTGTACTATACATGCTATGATAATGCAATAATAGTAGCATATCCCACATGCCTCAATCAGAAAAAGCTACACTGGGAGTAGGGCCTAATTAGGACTATCCAAACGGAATATGCTGTTTACACAACCCTTATCAATCCAGAATACTGTCAAATTCTGAATAATAGTGGTCATTGTAAATATGGACTGCACTCCTACATCTACCTGCAACAAAATGACAACACCAGCTGACACCTGAGTGCATTTCCGCCTGTAGATGTGTCCAGGTTTAGTTCAGCGCTGTGTTCTAATAATAGCCCAGCGGCTGGCATGCCACAGCCGGGGCTAGCAGTGGTTTGTTCCTCTTTTCATGGGTTGCATAACCTCACAGCACATGGTAAGAACACAAGTGGGTCAGCTCAGCTTATCAGGAAGCACGCATGTTGGAGATGCTGAACAAGGGATATTGTGCTGAATGGAGACACGGAAAGTGCTTACGTCACTGCTGAGGATTTTATCTGCACACATATTTACAGTAAAATACAGTATACCGTTCACAGCACAACGAGTTCATCATCTTCTTCTCAGTCACTGCAGAGCTTTCAGGCTATTAAGTATCGTGACATGCTAAAAGCCTGGGCTCTATTGATTTGTTTTCTGGTGCAGGGGTTGACAGAGGCCACTGGTTGCTGATTTAATCTCCTTTTTTTAGTATTTCGAGCTTTGAACAAGCAAAAGATTTCCAGTCATTTCTGTCCTAAACTCTCTTATCCTTTCATTTACCATCATACCCTGACCGAAAAAAGTGTTTCCATCTCCCATTAAAAGCACATTTTTCTAATTCAACACTTCAACATGTGCATCAAAATACATTCATGGAAACACAGCTAGTGTTGTTGTGGTTGAAAATATATATTTTTTTGTTTTTACAGGAGCAGCTGTGAGTAAACTGTTATACCTGTGTGTGAACTTTCGAAACTCTCTGACCCGAGGCACATGTTTAATGAGCATACCTCCCATACCTGAGTGTATACCCCACCTGGATAAGTTACGACACTCTACATGCTCACAGCGGACTACACACACTGGAAGCAGCACACCTTACATCAGCAGGGCTCTGTCTTTGTAAGAATCATTGCTTTACGGCTGTGCTTTTAAAGAAAAAGCTGGTACTTATCAGGAGAAAGCAAGCCACTATGATCTGGAATCTCTTAAGAACCACTAAAGGCCATGTTGAGCATCCACCAAAACAGTAAAACTAAGTATTCTAAAGGAGCATTTCCATGACAAAGACTAATCTGTTGAATGGACCGTGACAGGTTCATAGCAGCTGTTTTAGAAAGAATGGAATTTATTTCAGAATAATCAGAATCATCTCTGCTCGAGATGTTTACATGAGGCTCTTTTATTCTGGTGGTGCTTCTATGATTATGAGTAGAATAAAAGGCTCCATATTAACTTGGCTAGTCATGGGGTATCCAAGTACGCACAACCAAAACTTAGAAACAGGTTCTATAGCAACGCTTCAGTCCTCCTGTCCTCTGCGTTCAGCCACAGAACTGCTGCTAGATGAGACACATTTTCTGCGTATATCTGTTTCTTTTTTTGACAATTACATCCCAATACTCAATTTAGTAAGTAGTGGAAAGACAACTGAGATGTGAGAATATGCAGTAATGTTTAAAAAGTGTAAAGATTTATATAATTTAGTACTGATGAAAAATAAACAGAGGCAATGGTCTGAAAGAGTTACTAGAGTTTGGTTGATTGTGTTAATTAAAAGTCAATAACTGTCCACATTTTCCATTAGTGACAAAGTAGGTTGTTACAGTTAAATAACAGTTGCTTTCTAGGAAACCTTATATATGGAACATATAAAATTTAAATAAACAATACAGTTTCTTATTTTACCTTTGTTTTTAATTTGTGTTTTCAATCCACTTTAGTTTCAGTTCCAGTGCGTTTGCTTATTTCAGTTACGTTTTTAAATGTTCTAGTTCATTTATTATTATTTCAGTATTGGTTTTAGTTTTTCTTCAGGGGCAAGATTTCAGAAGTATTACAATACAAACACAACAAGCTTGTTGTGTTGATAAATATGAAAAACTACAGACTTGTATATCGTTTACATTATGTTTAAATACACAATATGGTTTCAGTTATTCTAAACGTTTTTTCAAACCTAGTTTTAGATTTTGATTTAGTTTTAGTTAACTAAAAAAATAACCTCGGTCCAGTGTCAGCGTGTACCTGTCTTCGATGGATGTTTCTGTTGTGTACGTCAGTGCAGGCAGCTGTCTGACTAAACTCAAAATGTATCGCCCCCTTGAGGACTGACATTTTTCCTTCAGTCACGGACGCACATACAGAGTACAGGCAGCTGTTCATTATATTTTCACCACATAATGGGCCCAGTGTGCTTCAATTTGACTAGTCCATACAGCGTGTGGTCTACAGACATGGAAATGTAAACGTCTTTCTAGCCGTTATAAATGGCCACACTCAAAGGCAGGGCGACGACCCTAACATCATAAAGTAGGACGAGATAGAATGAATTGCATCAGTATCACTGTTAAACTGCAGAGCAGTAGGGAGACCAAGTGACTGCAGAGAAGGTCATTCAACTGCGGGACATGGATCTGTCGATCATTTCACTGATTAATTGATTCGTTATTTGGTCCCACAAACTGTTTCCCAAAGCCCAAGGTGACGTCCTCATGTCTTGGTTTGTCCAGAACCCAGAAATGCTGAGAAACCAGAAAATATTCAAATTTTTAGTATTTGGAATTTTTTTCTGATTAATATAATAGTTTAATAATCAACTAATTGTTGCAACTCTAGACGCAGGCCCCCAACCTGTTGAAGTGTCCTACAATAATACACTGAATACTAGTGTTCTATAGGGGACTCTGACCTCTGACCTCCCTGCAAGGAAAAGGGTAAGAACTATTTCCTCTACACAGCAGTCAAGAAGCACATAGACTTAGATTTACATCATACTGAGGAATATATTTTGAAAAGCTAAGCTCAAATTATAGTTGTCCACATTACATGGTAACGTATAAACATTCCAATCCTCCCTCTGGTCAAACCCCTTGCTGAAGTCAGAGTATCAGTTTCCTGCTTATTGCTCTGTTGTAGTTATTATTGCTACATAAATAGGCAAAACGAAGGAAACGAGGCGAAGGTCTAAGCCCAGCAAATCCTGGACAAACTGAGGTCTGCTGCCTCCTAAGCCACCCTGCCAGCTATTTGTTGTTGCATAACCCAAAAGCAGACTACCTTGTTAAAAACCAGCAGGGACCGGTATCTTTGGGGAAGTGGTGGGGGTTGGTTTCTTGTGAGGCCGGGACACTGTGGCAGCTCTCTATGATAACCGGTTGGAGAGGGAGCGTTCACAATTTACAAGCTCGGGGTGGTTTTTGTGGCCATGTGGCATGCAAAGCAACTCATTACACTTGGCTGGCATTCACGAAAACTGATCATTATGTAAGTTTTAGGTGTGTGCCTCCTAGAGGGTGGGTAAAAATATCGATTCATCAATGCAATGCAATATATTTTTCCCAATTCAATATCGATTCATTAAATCCTCTGAATCGATTCAAGCCCCTGGCCAGTGGGGGCGCGGTGAGCAACACCTTTGTGTGATTTGCGTTGTACGGACGGGGGCCGCACTCGACCACACAACAACAACATTGGAACCGAAGCAGGTAGTAGCAGTGTTGAACCAGCAACTTTAAAAGCAGATGTTTGGAGTCATTTTGGATTCCAGTGTAAACCCGGAACACAGGAAATAGACAAAAGTAAGGTAGTGTGTAAGCTGTGCCAGGCAGTACTAAAATACTGCAATAACACAACAAATTTGCGCAACCACTTAAGCCGACACCATGCAGATGCTTTGTAGCAACCCGCGGCTAAACCTGTGGATTCAAAACAGACGTAACTGGACAGATCCTTCCTTTGCAAACTGCCGCCAAACTCTGCCCGCGCACAGAAGATAACTGGGTCTATGGCCGTCTTCATATGTAAAGACCTACGACCGTACAGTGTGGTGGAAAACGGGGGTTTTAAGAAGATGGTATACACACTCGAACCACGATACGCCATACTAACACGCAAACACATGACGGAAGTCGCCGTCCCGAAGCTGTACACAGAGGTAAAGACAGCGGTTTTGGAGTCGTTGAAGTCATCAATTATTTTAAAATTATCCACAGGTACTCTAATTAATTATTTGTGTAATTCTACTTATTACTGAATCGATATCGAAGCATTT